CTAAAATTATTTAAAAAAACTTAGTACTTGACCTATAATGAAATTTTCAAAATGGCATACTAAAAATATGATTTTTTTGTAACTTGAAACTTCTATAAAATCAAAAACTCTTGATTGCATTAAAAAACTTTTAGTTCCAATTGTACAACCAGATGCAATAAACATTTGGTGAAAATTTCATACAAATTTAACTTACAGTTAATGAGATAGGATGGCCGGGAGGTCAAAAATTTACATTTTGAGAAAAACTCGTTTGAATATTATATTCATAAATTTTCATAATATTTTCTCTCGTATACTCAATTGAAAAATTTTTATTTATATGAACATGAACCAGGGTCATAAAGACATCCTTCTTGATCATTCTCTGCATCATCCTTTTTTTTTTTGCATCCACGAATAACTTTTCGTCGCTTTTTAGATGTAATCCGATTTTGATATTCTGCAAAATAGATGACTGACAACTGAGAGTGGAAGACCAGCACCTGGCTTGTAGGTAGACGTTAAATTAGCTTTATCCTGTTTATAACGACACCAACTATTGATGCCATCTGGGCAATGAGCATGCCAATTATTTTCAGCTGATGATGCAACATGAAACAATGTTGCAAGTATGGCCTTTTTCATACCTTCTAAATCATTGGCATTTTGCCTAACAGCAATTCCATAATAGTTTTGTAGGCAATCAATTATAGCATTTGTTAATTTGCCTTTGCCTTCAAGTCCTTTTACATTTTTTTTCAAAATTCGCAATCTGCTACCAACACGTTTCTGTACATGTCCAACACACTCCAAATTACACACTGTTATACCAGGATAAGTATCTTTAACATACGAATAGCTTTTACAATCACCGTCACCATAATACTTTACATACCTCAGTTTATTTTGTGAAATAGAACGGCTAAATATTCTTTGAGCACCAGTTACTTTCATTCCAGGAGCAGAGCCACGATAATTTAGTTTACATACATGTGATGATTTCCAAGCTTCAAAGGCATTTGGGTTATTTTCTTTAAGTTTTAGTTTTAAACTACATGCTTTACACGATCGACTCATTGGTTCACAATCAAGAATTTTACCTGTGTCCATTGATATAGCAGTAACCACTCCTTTTAATGAGGAAAACCCACGACGTTGCCAGCTACCATCAACTGATACTGCAGTATCAACAATATTTGAAGAAGATTGACAAATATCTTTAACAGCGTCAGACATTGTTTCTTTTGCAACAACTTTAGCACAATCGACATGTTTAATTATTTTGTTGTAATTGTTCTTAGTCATTGGTGTAGGAATGTTCATTAAAGAAGTAAATTTTTCTAGTCCTGAATAACCTTGATCACATGCACGCATAGAATAAATTATTCTATTATTTACATCAAAATTTTTCTTCCCAGAGCATGTCTTTGAAGTATAAAATTCAGTTTTTTTGTTGCAATTAGGGAAGCATATATTCAACATCGAGCTAAAACCTTTTTTTTTAGGAAAACATTCTTCAAGAAATAATCCAGATTGTAAACAATTTTTGCAACATAATTGACTTATTACACCAGATAAAATTTCAATGTCAATAATACCATAACCAACAGTTTTATTATTACTTTGATGTGGTGTTTCAATTTTTTCAACTTTTTTCGAGGATATAGATAAATCTAATGAACTATTATTGAAAATAAGGTCATTTTCAGAACAGGTAACATTGTTATTAACAGGAGCTACTGATAAAGTTGAGTTGTTTGTCAAATTTTTGGTATACCTATTTCCATGAAATCTTCTGGATTTTTTACTTTGAGTACTTTGTTTAACTCAAAGTTAACTTTGAGTTAAACAAAGTAAAAAACTTTGCATAATTTACCCATTATTGAAAAAGTTTATTAAATAACACAAAAATAACTAAATAGCTGGCAATTCTTATAAAAAACCCGTTGCTATGCGTGTTGCTAAGCAGATCAAATTTACCCAGTTGAAGGAAACTTTTTATATCTCAAGAACTAAGCCTTATTTTTAAAAAATGTTTTCAAATTCGGATTCAGCGATAAATTTCGTGTAAGAAATACACAAATTATTTTTTTTGAATTTTTTAGGAATTTTGAGGGGTCTTATACCTTAATTAAGCATATTCTCATCAACTCAGAATTTATATTTTTTAGCATTTATTTAAAATTTTCAAAGTATATACTACGTATGTTTAAAATTAATGTTCATACTACGTATGTTTAAAATTAATGTTGAAAATAACGATCGTGACGCATTCATGAGGTTAGAAACATTCTCAATATCAAATTAGTTTGAGTTGATTAAGAAGTCCTCACATCTGGATCAATATCATTATTCAAAAGAAGTGTATTTTGTTTATTAAAAATTTAAATATAAGTTGTTGCATTTAATTTTTAGCCATTTTTATTATTAAAATATGCAAAATTGAGATTAAAAATGATTTCTTAATTAAGACTAAAATTGTTTTCTAGCAGTATCATTTCGAGTTATTATAAACATTTTTTAAAATAATAAGTTTGTCATATCTGACAATAAAGTTTTCTACTTTTGATTTTTTTTTTCTAGGTTTGCCGTCTCTTGCAAGAAATCTTCATTTACGTAGATGTTTAGACCTTTTAGTTTTTTTGTTTCTTTTAGGATGTGTGATTTGTCTTTAAATCTCAATAGTTTTAATGATAGGGCTTCTTTTTTAAAACCTACTCGATGCGCCCTTTCAGTTTCATCTCCTTTAACTCATAATTTTACGCATAATAAATTGTGAACCTTTTCCTCAGTTTCATCCTAGGTTTTCAGGAATTCTGACTATCCTTAAGTTATTTCTCCTCGACCTGTCTTCAGAGATTTTGCATCTTTCGTTTAAAATATTAATAATATATGGGGTTTCAATTTCTTTAGCAGCTTTCACCTTTCGGTCTATTAAATGTTCATGAAAAAATAAACTTTCCTTCATATTCCTTCATAAGTCCTTCATATCGTTTTCCAATTAGTGACTTTTTTTATCGGAAATTTTTTTCAATATTGTTCTCTCCATGTAAATTCTCAACTATAATTCTATTACGTTTTTCTAAACAGTCCGATGCAAGTAGCGCTCGGTTAAAGAGGGGGCAAAAGATTAAACTGAAGCTTTTTCTTTTTTTTTAGACCTGTAAAAAGAGTTATGTTCGGCATAGTTTGTTTCTTATTTTTACTTTTTCAAAAGCAGCAAGTTTAAGGGAAGCATAAAATCTGGCCTAAGGATTGTCCATAAATTATGCAAAGCGAAAGGAATTTAAAAAATAAAAGCAGGAGACCATTTGCACTTTTGTGCAGCGGTTTTCATTTAACTTAAAGGGCTTAAAGCATTTTAAGTTGAAAGAAAACCCCTGCGCAAAAGAGCAAAAAAGTCTCCTACTTCTATTTTTTAAACTCCTTTTGCGTTGCAGTATTTATTGATGATTTCAAAAAAGTTTTTTTTCCTGATAATTTTTTTATTTATTTCATTTTTTTCGAAAACGTAATTGAGAATCTCAAGACATTTTGAAAAACAGCTGCAACTAAGGCATTGAACAAACAAACTCGTGAAAAAAAAAAGCCGATAATTTTAAACAAATCCGATTGGTTTCTAGTGGCAAACCGAACAATTATTTATTTAATAATATTTAATTTATGCAAACGAAGAATTCGTAAATAATGGCAAAAATTATAAACAACCTAAGGGTCTGTTATAATAGTTTTGCATGAGATATATCAATATAACTATAAAGATACCTTGAAGTGTTTGTTTGATATAATTTATGAACCTAATTACAATTTAATACGTTTGTGTATATTTAGTAGTATTTTTGTGTATATTTAGTAGCATATTTAAAAAAAATATGCTACTTTTAAAAGCTTTAAAAAATATGCTACTTTTAAAAGAATGAATTATGTAATATATTATATGTAATATATTATATTTTGCTAACAACAAAAAGTATTTATCTTAATACATTACAGAAGCCATATTAGCTATTTGTATGATTAGTGTTCAAAGATATAATTGTTTTTATAACAATAAGTTAAAAGTAACTTTTAAACTATTGTTATAAAAAAAGGAAACCTAATATCAATTTACTGATATAAAAACGAAACGAGTTTAAAAATGAAAGTGTTTTTGTTTACCGCCTGTTTTTAATTGTTAATAGAATAAATTATTTTTTCAAGATGTCGAATAAGTCCCGAGTATTTCAAAAAATGATACTAAATACCGAAAACAGTTTTTTGAATGGTACTAAAAGATCTTAGCCTAATGGCTAAGATCAAGTGTAGTATCTGCAAAAACGACTTTTGTAGAAAAATTAACACTACCATAGTTTATTCTGAATCTAAACGTGATATTATTGTTAAACATTCTTATTTAGGTGTGGTATTGAAAATATCTTTTCATAAAAAGATGGTTTTTCATGGACAATTTTCCTAAATAATGTCTGATTATAAATGTCAAGTTACATTTATTAAAAACAAACACCAATACGTGCTTTTATGAAAAAATCAAATCCATCGACTTATCTATAACCAAACCCCAAGATACTTTATGTTGAAAATTATTTCTTTTCTAGATAAAACTACGCTTGACGATGTGTTATAGTCGCATTACTTTTACCAGATTATAATAATTGTTAAAATAATCTTTACATACACACCAAATGTCGTACTTTTTGACGAAAAAACTTACATATATTGTAATTTAAAAAACTTATATTTTTGTTCGCAAAAACGTGTACCACGCTTTAGTTACATCGAGTTCAATGCCCGCCTAAAGAACAAAGTTTCTGCTTAAAATAAGTATCTAAGGAGGAGTTTATAATTATTCAGAAGAAAAGCTAGTTATGTTTGCCAGGAGGTAAATAACTTTTTTTACTATTTTTAGTTTAATATTTTTAAACAGTATATTGTTTTATAATTTATTAAAAAAAAAATATTTAAACTTGAAACTAATTATTTTTTTTAAATATTAAAGTTAAATAAAAAATGTTACTATTATATACATTTTTGTATTTATTTGTCTTAATGTTAAACCACACTGGCTTCTTATACATAAATTAACTTTACACGCACTTACGTTCTTTACTATAGCTTCTGTGTTCGTGCGAGGTTGTATCCAAGATGGCACCCGTTGTGAGTAAAATTATCTTTGTTAAGTGTTTGTATTTTTATTAGTTGAAACGAAGGATATGATGATCATTCTTTTTTCCCCAACTTATCGACAATGATGAGGAAAATAGCTGATCTATAAGCCAGATGGTCTGATCCTTATATTGAGTGAACTTTTTAGAGTAATATCGTTAAAAAAATTAATTACTTTGAAGGATTTACTGTACTTGCATTACCAACACGCAATTGTGTTTAATTTTGAAGTTTGATTATAATCAAATAAGATAAGATTTCAAGTTTAAATTATTAGAGAGAATGCTTTTGTAGAATATTGTAAAATCATAACGAAGAGTTGCTAGTCTAAGTTACTATCAAATGTGTTATCAAATATGTTACAAGTGTGACAGTCTTACGCATAGGTTTTGTAATAAGTTTGATTTACATTACTATTCCTTATACTATTAACTTCATTAAGTTAAAAATTTACTGAAATGTAAAGGATGTGATGATAATATCTTTTTTCCCCAACTTATCGACAATGATGAGAAAAATAGCTGATTATTTAGCCAGATTATCTGATCCTTTTGTATTTTTTATTCCTTTTGACACTAAATGTTAAATAAGTTGCTAATTATTTGTATGTGGTTAAAATTATAGCTATTGCCAATGATGTCTAGTTTTCTAGATTTTGCTAATCCCAGCTCTCTGATAAATATGAAGAGAAAAGCAACTGAGGCTTAACAGCAGTTTATTTTGATTTTATATGTTAAATGAAGTGATGAATATTCTTTTTTCCCCAACTTATCGATCATGGTGAGATTAATTGCTGATTTACTTAGCCAGATATTCTGATCATAAAACTTATTCATAATTAACAATCTAATTTAAATTAAAAAAATTTTTGACCAACGCAATAGCTTTTTTTTTACAATTTGACTACTATTATACTATATAGAAATCCAAGAAAGCTTCCAAAAAGAAGTCGACCTTGACTTTTAACATTGATTGCACACATCCAGTTGAAGATGGAATAATGAAAGTAGATGATCTGGTAAGTAGTAGATTATTTTTTGTGTTTTTGGGGTACCTAATGTTATAACTTTATATTTTTTTATCATTAAGTTGCCTTAGGGCTATCTTCCCTAAGGACTTTACCATGGATCTCCATGGTTTTTCTTTTAGAAAAACTTTTTGTTAAGCAAGATCAAAGTGAACAATAAGCTTAATAATTTGGATCAGATCACTTTGGAAGCAGCCAAAAACAAAATATCATTGGTTTCTGAAAAGCCATTTTCTAAAAGGTATTTTTTTCAGTAATTGTTATTTTTGTAAATTTTTCAGCATTAGATCCACTGATGCATACATTATGGTGTGCAGATTGGTTTTATGTTAAAATCAGTTTAACGGAGCAGTGGAAAATAAATTAAAAAACAAAAAATGTATTTGTAACTAGTTTACATAATTTTTTGTCAAACATTTTTATGTTAAGTTGTATAGCTATTTTTTATGACTAAATTTAACCTAAAAGTTTTTGTAATATGATAATTAATAATAATATCAAGTCAACCAAGTCATGTGTAGCCTTTAAAATGAATTTTTCATTTAGATACTTAAAATATCTTACTAAAAAGTATTTAAAAAAGAACAATCTAAGAGATTGGCTTCGAGTTGTTGCTTCATCTCACACAGATTATGAACTCAGATACTTCCAAATTAACAACGATGATGATGAAGAAAATGATGATAATGAATAAATTTTCTAGCTAAAGTTTTATCTTTTTTTTCATTAAAACACAAAAACTACTACGTTTGTCCATTGTACGTAGACTCACTGATCTCTAATAACTGGATAGCGCATCTCCTAATAAAATTTCAAAATTTTTGAAGCCAAAAGACGCCATATTGTAATGCCCCAGAATTTATAAATGCGTAGTTGCGTTAAACTTAACTTAGTGCAGATTTCGCTTGGTTAATAAAAACTTATAAATGCATTGATTATTAAAAACTTTTAGTCTTAAACACTTAAATGTAAAACTGCAAATAACTAGTTATCACCAAATATCTTGTGTTTTTTTAAAGTTAGAGATGGCTTTGTCAAACCTTCGCAAAGTGTAATTAAAGTAAGCAAAGCAACAGGACGAAACATTGTTATTAAGTGATATCAATTTTATTAAAGTATTGCATAGTTAATGATATTATCAGTTGTGGAACAATATAAACATGTCCTCAGAATCTCAAAAATTAGAAAACCATTTACAAAAATGTTTGATACAATGTTTTTATCATGTTCTATACTTGTAAAGTTACTTTCCAGCTACAATGATAAGTTAAGTCGCATCAAGTTGTTGAAACAAACGCCCAAAAGTAACCAGATTAAATATCAATTTGTCTTTCAGAAAAGTTTTGTTTAGAATATCATAAATTCAATAAATTTAACAAGTTCATAGAAAGCAATACAAATTTTATTATTTCTTTATAGCGATATTTCTCTTCGTCGTTAATGTTTGCGTGTTTTTGATTCCCTTTTATAATTTTTACACCTTCAAACATATTAAATATTATAATATCATTGAAAAATGTGACTTGGTCGAGTAGATATTAACGAAGTACAAAGGTATATCTTCAAGCGATCACTGTATTTTCGGTATTCTGGGGCTTTCCATAACGGCAGCCGTACAAAGAATTGGCTTCACTTTTGATAATAGAGATGCGCTATCCAGTTATTATAGAGATCAATGCGTAGACTCTAAAAAATTTAATAAATTTGATTCTCTAAATTTTTGTTAGTTAGGTTAAAATTATATAGAGTAAAAGATAATCTGCATTTTTCTTTTTCTTTTAAATTCACTTGAAATCTATCCAATATCTGAAAATTCATCAACCCCTAACATCTGTAGAAAGATGTAATTATATCTGGGTAATTTTTCTTACGTCCACTAACATCTGGAAGAATCTTGAATTTTGACATTATTCACTAACCTGCTGAAATGCATTTTTAATTCCTAGTTTTACATGAAACACAAAACAGCTTTGTTACTTTATTTTGAAACTTGAGGTTTTTTTCTAGTTCAACGGTTAGTAGGGGTCTGAAAGATGTACATGATTTTTTAATGTATTTTGTAGGTAGAAAAACAAATGATTTTTTAATGTAACTTGTAGGTAGAAAAACAAATAATCGAGTAAAAACATTGCGACATTTATGTTAAATTTATTCACTGATTCACTAATTTAACAAGAAATAAATTATGCCAACCAGTTGTTGTGCAAATTAGGTTGTTCAAACAAATTTAAAAAAGAATGTGGATTAAAATTTTATAAATTTCCATCAGGAAAAACGCCATTTGAGAAAAGAAGGCGAATAGACTGGATTAAAGCTATTAATCGTAAGGATTGGGACAGTTGGGAAAGTGAAAAGATTAGTAAAGAACGAGTATGCTGCACATTTTGTATCAGGTATGTTCTTTTAATGAATGATGTTAGCTAATAAAACTATATACGTAGTAATACGTTTAATAAGATTCTTTAAAAAGAGCAGCCGTGGCGCAGTGGTTAGAGTTCTGGCTCAGAACCCAGAGGTCCGAGGTTCGACGCCATCTTCAGCCCAATAAGCGACATTGGTATTATTATTTTATTTATTTAACACCCAATTTACAAGGTAAAAAGAAAAAAATAAGAAAGTTATTTCGGATGACTTTGCTTAAAAACGTTTTCTTCCAGAATTTGCTTGAAAACTCCTCTTTGCTCTTTTGCATTCCAGCACTCTATTGCATACTTCAAGTTTCGTTCAACTTCGGAAGGAATTTTACTTTTAGAAAGTGGTATTTTTACCTTCTTTTTATTTTGAATTAGGTTTTGAAAATTTAATATCTGAAGATGGCATAGTTCCTGAATATCACTAACAAACGAATGTTGAAATAACGGGTGTTGCAGTTGTGAAAAGATAATGTCTGCAGTTGTTTTGTTATTAAGAAGTCGAAGGAACAAGTTTAACTTATTTTGTTGAACACTTTTTGAAATTTCCTGGATTTTAAATAACGAATTCATATAGTTTTTACTATGTTTTTTAAAACATTTAAAAACGATTTTAGCGCACTCCTTCCAATTATATCTAGCTTTTTCATCAGACCAGGATTATTTTCACATAGCTCCATACCATAAGTTAAGGTGGGGACTGGCAGTGATTTATATATATAGGAAATAGAACTGGGGTGGGCAAACCGGATTCCAGATTGAATAAGAGTTTGAACAACAGCTCTAAAGTTTGATATTTTTTCATCAACATTTGAATAACCGAGTGAAGCAAAAACTGTATGGAAGGAGGCGTGAACTTCCCGTTAAATGCTCTCCCGCGGTGCTCTATGATAAGACCGCAAGGACTTCTGGGAGCACCTAAATACATACAAAAAAAAAAATTAGTAATTTATAATATTTGGTACATTTATTAATTCAATTAAATATTATATTTTATTATAATATTTAATTAAATTAATATTTAATTAAATGTTATAATTGTTATATTTTAGAGAAAACGTTCTGATGACCCATCTGACGTTGACTGGAGTCCATCTGTATTTAATCACCTTGGAGATGCTACGATTTCTAGTTTGATTAAAAAAAGGAAGAGAAAAGATTGCTATAAAGCTTTATGTAAAAACGATCTTTCAAAAAATCAATACTGTCATCTAGCCAATCAAATGATATAGAGCTTGATAACTATAAAGATAATATAAATAATGACATAAAACCACCAAATGACAAGTCAGCTATTTCTAAATTTTGTCAGCATGATACTTATAAAGTAGAAGTGGAAACTCTTAACTTTCAGTTAATGCAATACAGAAATGAATTGATCGAGAAATCTAATGAAATTATTAAACTTAAAAAAAAGAATGCCAGACTAGAACATAATAAATATATTTCATACCAAAACCTAACAGATAAACAAATGAATTTTTTTTCAGGCTTGTCTCCAACTACGTTTATGTGGCTCTTTGAAAGAGTTAAAAATTATATTAAAAAAGTTCACTCAAGGTTATTGTTGGAGGACCATTTCTTAATTGTACTCATAAAACTAAAATTAGGTCTATTAAATAAAGATATTGCATTTCGATTTAGACTAAGCTCTAAGTAGTTTCAAAAATTTTTAGAACAATAATATCAATTTTTTCTGCTAGAGTTGTTAATCTCATTGTTTGGCCAGACCGTGGAATAATAAGGAGTAACCTTCCTATATGTTTTGAAAAAAAGTTCAAAGATTGTGTTTGTATTATTGATTGTAAGGCCAAAAAACTTAACTTCACGATCACAAACTTGGTCTAATTACAAACATAACAATACCATTAAATATCTTATTGGTATTACTTCAGCTGGGCCAGTTAGTTTTTTATCTCCTGCTGGGGTGGTCGTGTTTCAGACAAACAAATAACATTTGAGTCAAACTTTTGTCAGAAGCTTCATCCTGGTGACTGTGTTCTTGCTGACAGAGGATTCAATATTAAAGATGAACTAAATGCTGTTGGGGCAACGTTAAAAGTTCCAGCATTTACAAAAGGTAGACAACAATTATCTGGACGGGAAGTGGATACATCTAGACAGATATCTAATGTTCGCATACATGTAGAAAGAGTGATTGGTCGAATAAAAAAGTTTCGTATTATTCATATGACTGTGCCAATCACCCAAGTGGATTTGTTAGATGATATTATGATTATTATTTGTGCTCTTGTAAATCTCAATATGAGTGTAGTTACTTGATTAATGTAAATGTAAAAATAAATTTACAGAGAAGCAATTTTTACAATTTTAAAATCTAAATACATATTAAAGGAAAGTAATATTTGTTCTGGTTTATTATTTGGTTTTACATTCTTTGCATAACCAATTAGTAGTTTTTGAAGCTCTTTTCAGTCCAACAAAAGCGTAATGAAACCATTCATATTTGCAGTTGGTAAAATTGCATGGTATCATTTTTCCAAAACTTGGTCTTTGGCATATACAGTAAACTTTCTTACTATTTATTGTCGATTTATCATTACGACGTGTTACAACCTCTGGCAATAAAATGTTTTTGAAATACATAAAAAACTTATTAATCATTTTCAGAATAAGATCTGTATCTTTTTCATTTGTTAAGGGTTAGGGTCAGGGTTAAAACTTTATTCACCTTTAACTGCAGGGGAGAATGCAAGAAAATCAGCCTCAGAACAGAGACATACATGTAGTTGTAATTGAATTTGGTAGTAATATTTGTGATCCTTTTTTATAATGAGATCTTTATTGATTGGAAAATCTTTATCTTCTTCCCATCCTTCAAAGCCATTTTGATATTTATAAGGGCATTTGATCTCTAAAATTTTAGTTTGATGACAACTGCATCTAATCAATGCATCTGGAGAAGCTCCACTGAAGGGGTATTGTTCTCTCACATGAAAACCAGTATCTAAAAATTGGAAATTTATATGACTATATTTTACTTTTTCAATATTTTCATGCAACATGTTCCGATTCTGTTCCATATTGTGTGTACTTATTAACAGAATTTTTTACATAATGCATAATTATTTTGACCAATGATTCACTTGACATATAGTTTGTGTTAGAATTGTATACTTCTTTTGCTTTTGAAGCTGTTATACGCCCTGCACGGTGCATCATCCAAACAGGATTCAATGATTGTGTTTTTGTTTGGTTGCATAAGTTATTATACTGCCTTTGATTATTATCATTTTTATAATCGTTATATATACTTTCGCAAAAAATGATCAACTT